AAAAAAAAAAAAAAAAGCAATCTTCCTCTGACTCTTTAGTTGATAGCCTGATGTGTCATTTCCAAACTGCTCAAGAGGCTGATTGGCCAGCACAAACGTGGAGAGACCCAGAATCCTCTACTGGGTACCCAGGTAGAAGGAAGCCAGCCTCAGTATCACACCTCTCTTCTGTGCCCAGCTGACCCAGGGCAATCTCTTGGCACTAGAACTTCTCGGCTAGTTTGATTACTAGCAAGCTTAATTCCTAGAGGTAATGTAGTAAGCATGAACTCTAGGAATGAATAAAATGAATAATTCTGATAATGAATAAAAATGGATAAAAAGATGCCAACACAAAGGAAACTATGTGGGTAGGAAGGGGACCTGAACTGCCATGATAAACCTCACATCATCTCCCGGTGACGCTCACAAACTCTGCTAGACACTAACTGGGCACCGCAGATCATGTGTTTGCCATTCTTGACCATGGGATACATTCAATAGATGAATTCTAACTCCTAAAGAGCTTGCAAATGTGAAACAAAATTAAGTGTTCTCAAAGAGAACAGAATCATTTTCCCCTAAAGTCTCATTAACTATCTCTACATCTTTTCTCTAGAGATGGGGGTCTCACTATATTGCCCATCTATGCTCAAGGGGTCTGCCGGCCTCAACATGTCAAAAAAACCAGGCCATCAAAAGGCTCTTCATGTTTCTTTAACTTGACATTTTTTCAGTTTGGGGGAGGTAGCTGTAAAGGTCAATGCTAGAACCCTAAAACCACACCTATGAGCTTGTGCAGAAGCATCATTTTTTCTGTTTTCTACATGCCTGAAGTCTGGGGCTCTGTGATTTCCGTCTAACACACTTGTAAAGTAGAGCGAGCATCTCTTAACTGACATGGGGAACACACCAGTCATCCCAGTACTCGGGAGGTCAAACCAGGATGATGGCAAGTTCAAGGTCAGCCTGGAATACTTGGGGGGGGGAATAAATGGTGGGACAGAGAGGGAAAGGGGTGGGAGAGAGAAAGGGAGGTATACAGGGAAGGGGGAGAGGCAAGAGGGAGGGCCCCTAACACAGTAACACTAGTGAGTCCACAGCAACAGCCGTAAACACAACTTCTAGTTTACGAACACCACAGCCGCAGTCTCAACAGATTCCCTAAAAACACGGTTCTGTCTTCTGAGTTTACCTCAGCTTACAGTCGGCACAAGTGGTCACCACTCTGTTACCGGTAACAGGTGAAAAATACGCCGAGGCAACGCTCTTCGAGTGTCCAGTCACAGAGATCAAAGGCTGGCTTCTCTTGGAATTCAGGCACCTCGCATCATAAACGTGAACGTCCCTGGGGCAGGAAGAGAAATTACCAGTCCAGCCCATGCAGTGAGCCCACAGAGGAAGCTCACTCTGAGCCTACGTTACACACTCAGACACCGACTACATTAAGAACTTAAGACAAAACCCTCCAATCTATAACTTTACAGACAGCGACTGGCATAGGAAAATAAATATTGGAAAAATTCCAAGATACAGAAGATCTATGTTACCTCAGGCACAGAGACTAGATTCTGGTAGGTTTTCAACATTTCCAAGTGCTGGGTGGTGGCGGCGGCGGCGGCGCACACCTTTTCCTCACACTCAGGAGGCAGAGGCAAGTGGATCTCTCTGAGTTCAAAACCAGCCTGGTCTACAGTGTGGGTTCTAGAACAGCGATAGCTACCATTTTAAGACCCTGTCTCCAAAAAGAAAAAAAAATCTCCAAGAAACAAAATAACATGAGCCACCAAGTTCTAGGTCACGTACAAGTTTTCTGTTTATTATGATTTTAAGTTTTCTTCTCATAAAAGTAGAAGCAAATACACACAGTG